TGCACCAGTCTGCATCCCACCAGCATAAAGGAGGGTTCCTTTTTCTCCACATCCTCGTCAGCACTTGTCCTTTGTTGATTTGTTGATGATAGCCATTCTGACAGGTGTGAGATGGTATCTGATTGTCATTTTGATTTGCATCTCTCAGATGATTAGTGACTTTGAGCATGTTTCATATGTCTCTTGGCCTCCTGTATGTCCACTTTCAAAAAGTGTTTACTTAGGACCTTTGCCCATTTTTTGATTGATTGTTTATCTTCCTTTTGTTAAGTTGTATGAGTTCCCTATAAATTTTGGAGATTAAACCCTTAGCGGATATAACATTGGAAATATGTTCTCTCATGCAGTGGGCTCTCTGTTTTGTTGATGGTTTCTTTTGCTGTATAGAAGCCTTTTATTTTGATGTAGTTCCATTTGTTTATTTTCTCCTTAGTTTCCATTGCCCTAGGAGCTGCATTGGTAAAGATATTGTTATGACATATATCTGATATTTTGCTGCCTATGGATTCTTCTAAGTTTTTTTTTTATGGTTTCCTGTCTTACATTTAAGTCCTTTATCCATTTGATTTTATTTTTGTGTATGGTGTAAGTAGGTGGTCTCGATTCATTTTTTTTTGCATGTATCTGTCCAATTTTCCCAACACCATTTATTGAAGAGACTATCTTGGCTCCATTGTATGTTCTTGCCTACTTTTTCAAATATTAATTGAGCATAATGGCTTGTGTCGATTTCTGGGTTTTCTGTTCTGTTCTATTGTTCTATATGTCTGTTCTAGTGCCAGTACCAGGCAGTTTTGGGAACAGTAGCTTTGTAATATAGCTTGATATCTGGTATTGTGATCCCTCCAACCAGTTTCTCAGTATTGCTGCAGCTACTTGGGGTCTTTTTTATATTCCATATGAATTTTTGGAGAGTTTGGTCTAGGTCTGTGAAATGTGCCGTTGGTATTTTAATAGGGATTGCATGGAATCTATAGATTGCTTTGGATAGGATAGACATTTTAATGATGGTAATTCTACCTCCATGAAC